AGGCCTGGGGCCGCCCCTCGCGCTCCCGCACCTCCTGCGGCGCCAGCTGTCAGCGCGCTGCCCCCGGCCCAGCCTCGGCCCGGAGCGCCCGTGTGTGCCCGGCCCTCCCCTGCGCCGGGTGCGACTGGCCCCGAGCCCAGCCGGCTCTCCGAGGTGTCCCAGCGCGGCCTCACAGTTCTCTCTCTGTTTGTAGAGTTTAGGGAAAATCATTCAGCGAGACTTCTTTCCTGACGTGGAGAAGCTGCGAGCGCAGAAGGAGTATCTGGAGGCTGAAGAAAACGGTGACTTGGAGAAAATGAGACAAATTGCTATCAAGTTTGGCTCCTCCTTGGGCAGATCATCGAGGGACACACCTGCACCCTGTAAGAACTGGCTCACTGGGGCATAAGGGTTTTATATGTAATGTCACTGCTCTGGTTTATCTAAGTGCACAGAAAGTTCTTGTCCTAAAGGTTTAAGATTGACACTGCGTGGGAATTAGTATACCACATTGGGCAGTAGGCAGTATCTGATGACCGATGCTGAATTTCTCTTTGCGAGTGTCTAATAAATCCTTCTTGAGGGAATGGTTTTGAGAAAAACAGCCATTGAATAACCATTCTTCATAGGTATCTTTTGCCAAGTTCCTACTCCCTAGGGACTGTTACATGCTCTAATGTGCAATATTATACTATCAGAAACTCTAAGCTATGTTTTGAATCCTTATTATAGTTTTAGGGGCTCTTGCTGGATCTGCAGACGTGTAAGATTTTCACATATTGAGGACAGAAGGTGTTGGTAGCTTGTGGTTATCAGAGGCTCACACGGCAGGCATCCAGTGCCCTGTTGTATGTTTGCTTTCACTTCTAGTTCAGGTGTTTCTTGTACTAAAGCCCAGTCCCTGGCTGAGCTCTCGCAGTGGGGTTTAGGTAACTACCCGTTGTGTGGCAAAGGGCATGTGTCACCACCCGTTTCCCTTCCTCCCCTGCTGCAGGTGCTGGCCCTGGCCTGGGTTAAGATTGTTAAGCCACCGCTTGCTTCTGTTGGCAAAAGCTATAGACAGAGGGTCAGGTGTACTGGGCTGCAGCTCTCCTGTGAATTTTTCCCAGGAGGAAAAAAATAATGTCTTAGATGAGAGCAAAATCTTGTTTAGTTGTTGAGACAGAGTTGAATGGAATGTTTTGGAGTCTTTTCACAACTTTTTAATTAAATTGTTGTTCTCTTCATATGTCTTCTGTGACTTGTTTGGCACATGATCCTTATTGGGGTGGAAGATGTCACAGCATCCTGTTCCATGCTTTAGTAACCATGTGAACCTTTTTTTTTTTTTCTGTCATAGATGTTACTCCAGCCACATTTGAAACCCCAGAAGTGCATCCGGGTGGCCTTCCACTGGGGAATAAATCCAAAGCTGGCGTCAAAACTGGAGAGGAAGGTAGGAGAATGATGGTTCTCTGGCTGAATTCTTCAACAGCAGGAAAATACTGTTGTGAGCTGTATTTTACTCTTCTGTAAGGATTTTGGGTATTTAGCAGATGTTTAAGCAGTTTCCTTTAACCTTCTGGTAGGTGAAAATACTTACTCTGAAGTTGATCTTGATGTAATCTTTTACATCATATGTGTGAATTTTCAATTATGGGTCTCTTTATGGCTGTTTAAATTCTTAACTCAGTCGATCTCTTTAAAGGCAGTAAATTTTTTTGTGTCACCTGAAATTAATTCTGTAAGTAAGCAAAGATCGTAGGGACAGAACTGTTCATATAGTATATTGAAAATGTCTGCTAGCAGCTGGCCACTTCTGCATTTTCCCTTTAACACAAATAGCTATAAATGCCATAAAAGGTTTTATGTGAAAATTGGTTATATATCTTCCAAAAAAAATTTACTCTTGTAGCACTCTGCATGTATATATGTATTTTTTTTTTCTCCAAGCTTCATGTTAATTATTAGTGGGTCTGTAGAAGGCTCGCTGTCAGAAGGGATTAAGAGTTGTGTGTAGCAGCCTCATAGAAACTGAGGTATTAACCTTTCTCAGGCTTCTTCCCTCCTCTTGTCAGGAGAAGCAGAAAAAGATGATAAAGATGCACTTCCCAGTCTGGACAGCTTCTTGGCAAAACACACGAGTGAAGACAATGCTTCATTTGAGCAGATCATGGAAGTGGCCAAAGAGAAGGAGAAAGTCAAGCATGCTTGGCTGTACAGTGCGGAAGAGGAGTACGGCCAGGTAGGGACACGGCTGGGCTCTACCTCTGCTCTTCCCAAGTGACAAACTAGGGAAATACCGTTTCACTGTATTTCTTCCTTGCCGGATTAAATAGAATATTATCTTACCGTCTGGTTTTGAATCCTGCTACAAATACGGATGACGATTTGTTGGCTCTGAGCACGAGGCTATTGCGTTACGCTGTTGAATTATTCCCATTATTGAATAAGAGTGGAAAGGTCTTGATGCTGGATAGTGGACGCACGGGGTGATTGCACGTAAATGTGAGCTAAGCCTGAGCTCCCTGGGTCCTGTGACAGCTCACTGCTCCCTTTTGCAGACCTGTTTTTTCCCCATCTGTAACGCAAAACCAGTGTTGACATAGTTGCTGAGGATCTGTCTCTCCCTAAAGCTTTGAGACCGTGAAGTATTGCACTCGGTGCAAGTATTGCTGTTCTTGGCACTTTTCCACGAGCAGCAATAAAAGGAGAGCAGCTGAGAACAGTTCCTGCTGTTTGTCCATGACCCCTTTATTATTTGCAGTTAGACTGCCTGTCTTATTTCAGTTTTCTGTTTCTATTATCGGTGATAGTCCACTCAGCTGCTGCGGTGCTGTACCCTGTGGCTGGCTGTGCTGTGTTCCCCAGCTAGCTTTGTAAGAGGTTCAGGAGCTGTTCTGGGGCTGCCATGTCAATCTTTCTCCATCAGCAGCGAGCAGCTGGCTCTGTTGCCAGATGTGTCAGTGATGGATGTGAGCTGCAGTGCCTTTTAATGAAGGTTGGCACTGATGCATGTGCGTACTGCTGTTGTGAGTGAGTGTTGTGTTTTTATCCTGGCTAATGTAAACCCTTGGAGTCTGTTAGAATAAAAACACCCTCTGTGGCTCCTTATGCATCCATCTTCTTTGCTCGAGTGCTTTCACCCAGAATTAAAGGCAGGTAGCAGGAGAACATTCCCAAAGCACAGGGTTTGTTTCAGGTCAAGGTGAAGTTTCCAGAGCCAGTTTTGTGCTGATGTGTGTCTCCCTGTGAGCCAGCCCTCTGTTCAGACCTTGCATTTCCTTGCACAGCATGCCTGTTTGTGTAGCAAACAACTTCGCTATGCCTCATTTAACGTAGTTAGTGGCAGTACTGCTATTTAAGTGTATATAGACAATACTTATTAAAAACAACATCAGTTGATGTCTTTAATATATAGCTTCTGGCAGTAATTGTCTTGTTTAATTAGTGTGAGAATTTTGAAATGGAGTAACTTATCGGTGGCTGACTGCTTTCTATTACTTTCTTTTTGGTATCGGTGATGTTAGTATGCTGGTGACAGCACGCAGGTAATCGTGTGAATATGTCAAATTCTTCCATACCTGTACTGCCTATGGAAATGTTTGGAAATTCTCTAAGTATTGAATACGGGTCTGTTCTTTTGTTACTGCTTACCTCAGCTAATACAGTTTGGACGAGACTGGGATGGTACAAATATTCTGCCAAGGTTACATGCCAAAGCCTTGTAGACTGCCTTTATATTAGATATATGTCATATGTTGCCTTCCCTTATTTAGCAATGAATACTTCATTTGAATTTTGATTACTAGATAGAGAAAAAAAAACACCAGAAAAATTGAACCATCACAAGTGTTGTTACAAGATGTAATAAACAAAGTCATAAACATAATCTTTCTCAGAAGTTAATTCTTTTTTTGGCTTGATTTTATACCAGAACTGCATATGGAGTTGTTGTTTGCAGGCTTACTTGGGAACAGGATTGTTCTCAAATGCCACTTGCCAGAGAGAGAGAGTACTTGTGCCATGCCAGATGCAAAGTGTGCCAGGGTGGATAGCAGAGCTCGTGATTGAGCTCTCCGAGTTGTGTATGCCTGATAAAAAATTTCACGAGTCTGTTTCAGACCTGATTTTTTTTTTTTTCCCCTTTTCTTAATTTTAATTTTTTCCATTTCAGCGACGAAATGAGAACCTGGCACTTCCTTCAGCAGAGCAGCAAGCTCTGGAGAATGTGAAAGCTGGACTGGAGACTTGGGAGTACACAGCTCGAAACACTCTCATGTATTACCCGACAGGTGAGGCACGCAGGCTTCTCGGGAGAGGCATTGGTTCTAGATGGGTTGACTCCAAACAGTGCGTACAGCACTTGTGTAGATGACTGGGTAGCTCTTACTAGTAATACTGCACTTTTTATTCTGTGAAGCTCAGCTATGTGAAGTTTAAACATTTTTTTTCTTTTTTTCCTCCTTTTCTTTCTTTGGACCTTAGTCCTTTGCCTCCGATTGCAAGTTTTGATCATGTTCTGTTAGTCATGGAGAAGCTCATTATCTGTATTGTGAAAGCACTTGTTTTTGCTTCTGCTCAAAGAGTGCTCCTTGAGCTTGTTAGCCCCTTGGTTGCTGTAGAAAACCACATCATTTTGTAAAAGCAGTTTTCTTTTTGGCTATAAATGTATAATTGATAATTTCTGCAAGCTAATGAAGTGGAGAAAAGAAAGTCTTGTTGACTGTTTTCTTAAAGAAAAAAATAAATCTGATCTTAATTTACAGATTTCAGATGTTACACAGCATATATCTAGTGCAAATTTTGTTTTAAATTGCTAGAGTTATACACTGCAATTGCTGATGGATTCTGTTATGTGGGAAAGTGTGGCAAGTGTCACGTTGGTTGGGAGCTTTAGAGCACATGGCCCAGTGCTACCCGAGCCCTTTCTTAAAAGACGTTTTGCTTTTCGAGGTGTACCTGATGAGAACGATGTGTTTAAGAAGCCCAGGGAAGTTGTCCATCGAAACACCCGGTTTGTGAAGGACCCTTTCAGCCAAGCCGTGAGCAAATCACAGCTCCAACAAGCTGCAGCCCTCAATGCTCAGGTGGGATAATTTTACTTCTTCTGACTGAAACCTTGTTAGACTCTGCCCTCTGGTGTTGTTCATCAATCAGGAGAACTGTGTGCTAGATACAGCTGACTCACGTCTTTCTCCACATGAATGACATTGTCTTTTTTATTTCAGTACAAACAGGGCAAAGTGGGACCAGATGGGAAAGAACTGATACCCCAAGAGTCTCCAAAAGTGAATGGATATGGATACGTGGCTACGCCTTCTCCTGCCCCCGGTAAGAGGGATTTCTTATTTTTTTCTGATGTAAGAGGACAGCTACTGTGATATTTTGATGCTCTGTTTGTTTAGCACTGGGGTATCGTTGGTTTAGGCAAGGAGGTAAGCCTCCTATCCGTATATGTCTCATGAGCTGGTGACTTTCCTGTGTACCCGTGTGCCAGCTCGACGCAGTGCTTAAATCCTAGTCTGCTACGCTGGCAAGAGGAGTCGTGCTGTACCCGAGAGGCTCTGAGCAGCTGCTGTGCCATTGCTTAGGAATCACCAAGAGGGCAGTGAGCCTTCCTAGGCAACTGGGGTGCTGCAGCTGCTTGTTTTATCCCTGGATGATGCTTCTCTAGAGCTTAAAGATAAGAATTCAAGCATTTCACAAACTTTAACCTTCCAGCAAGTTCAGGTACTGGTTTTTCAAAATGAGGAGCATTTGTGTCAGTATGTCCAGTAGTTTAGTGAGTGATAGTTCAGCCTGGCTCATAGGTATGTGGCATATCTCACTTCCTTCACAATCTAACCTACTCTTTTCCTCCAGGTCTGCTGCTTTCTATGTTCTGCCTTTGTCTGAATACATTTGTGCATTATAGATTCCTTTTGTTCAGACGTATTAGCCGCAGGATACCTTCAGTTAGAACAAACTGATTATTTTTCTTCCAGTTGAAATGTGGTATCTGCATTTTTAGCTGTTCTTCACCAGCTGTTACGTTTTGTTGTCTGTTGTTATGCCGGGGTGAACATACTGAGGCTTTTCCTCCAGAAAGCCTGTAGGTGGCATTTGGAGCACACCTCCTTTCACCCTTGTAAACGCTTTTTCCAAGCCCCGGACGGCAGGATTTTCTAGCCAGTGACTTAATCAGCTGTTAGACAAGGTGCAGTCAGTTTGGTACAGATTGGCCTCAAGATGAATTGAGGGAATGTTTGGTTATTACATACATCTTAAGTCCTCTGCCCATTTCCCTGCTTTTAAATAGTTCCCCATGTTGAAGGAGTTTTCATACAATAGCAGAGGGGAAGACTGGTACGGTGGAGGGAAAAATGGAAGTGTCACTAAGCAAAAGCTCACCAAATGGAAAAATAAACACGTGGAAAGGACAAGCACTTGGGTGTTGTGACCTAGGGGGTGACACAGCTGCAGGCAGTCCTGTGAGTTTAAGGTCATGCCCTTTTACTGGGAACCAGATGTTACTATTCAACATTGGCTGTGATTTCCTCTGCCGTGGAAGGGCTCCTTTGTATGTTGATGAATTTGCTGCATTTTGTAATTAGCTTTTCTGGATTTTTTTTGTAGTGCATGAATAGTCAAACATCTTGCATGAGCATGACTTTTTAAACTTGTTTATAGGTGTGAATGAGTCTCCTTTTATGACATGGGGTGAAATTGAAAGCACCCCTTTGCGTCTAGAAGGGTCAGAAACACCATATGTGGACAGAACACCTGGACCAGCCTTCAAGGTATTTAATGTCAGGAGTCAGCATGTCATTCTTTTGGTGGGAGGAAGGACTAAGAAGGGAAAGGCAAGTGAGTATCTAATAGATTAACATTGTTGTGGGAGTGTGACGCATCTCTGGGCTGTGTTCCCAGTCCTTGAGACTAATAATCTAGGTTCTGCTTGGAGGGTGGAGGCTGCACGGGTAGAGATACCTGAGGTGGAACACGTGCTCTTGGCAAAAGAGTGAGACTCAATATTTGATGATGGGCACAGACAGAGGGGCGTTCAGAAGAAGCTGAAGAGATGCCCAGTTTCTCTGATTTTAATGTATGAATGGGTAGAAATTGTAGGATTTCCCTCTGTCTTGATCTTCTGGCTGTCACAGCCTGAGGCAGGTGTATCACTTGAGAGTAGAAAAGACACTCTGGCTTTGCTAATGGCACCTGACCCTGCATGCCACTTGTCTCCTGCTGGTGTCATTGAATGTGAGCTGTCTGAGACTCTTGGTTTAAGAAAGATGTAATTTGCTGTATGTGCCTCTGTTTTGTCAGACTCTGAAGCCTTTGACTGGTTCTCCTGCTGTTTAGCAACGTCTGTGTTTGCCTGAGAGCTGGCTGGCTACAGGCCAGGCCAGGCAAGACACAGGTGACATTGTCTAGGAGAGACAGCAGGAGGAAATGCCAAAGGTAATGGCTGCTTCCTTGACTGAACTGGTTTTACGATTTTTGTTACTTGCTAAGGCAGGTTGAATGTCTCTCTGTGTCCTCTCTGGCTTTTATATAGCAGCAGAGAGGTGTGGGCTGACCCCACTTCTCCCCGGCTTAGATCCCTGTGGACTGGAATCCAACTGTGAAGGTGCTTTGACTTACTTATGCAGCACTCATGTGAGTGCCTTGGTGAGTGAACTGTGTGATGCATTTATAGATCCTGGAGCCTGGGCGCCGTGAAAGGTTAGGACTGAAGATGGCCAATGAAGTCGCAGCTAAAAACCGAGCAAAGAAGCAGGAGGCACTGCGAAAAGTGACAGAAAACTTGGCCAGGTGAGGCTTCCGTTCTGACAGCAGAACTGGGGATGGGTATTGTCTGAAGAGATTTAAAGCAACATATGTAGAAAGGGAAGAATCATAACTGGAAGCAGGAAAAGCTACAGTCAAACTAAAAGCTTTTGGAAATTAAAAAACTTAATTTCTGAGGGAAGGTGGCTGGTGGCTGTCCCTAATACTCCCTCTTGTCAGCATTACTGTTCTGCCCTACAGCCACCCAGCAACGCATCTGGATCGGTGTCTTGCCTCGTTGCAAAGAGCAGACGTGATAAGACTTGCTTGGCTGGGTCACGGGAAGGATGGAACAGGCTCAAAGGAAAAAGCAGGCAGTGCCACTCAGGTTTGGGCGGGATGTAAGAGGTTCCTCTGTCGCCTCTGTCTCTAGAGAGACAGGCTGCATTCACCTGCAGGGAGAATTCTTCTGGAGCCAGTGGATCCTGGTCTGTGGGGGCAGTGGACACTGAGCTCACCTGTGGAATGGAGCATTTATGCTCTTCCTGATAAATGGCAGATTTTTACTGTAAAGTCTTTTATAACTCTCTATTCTATTCCAGCCTCACTCCAAAAGGACTAAGCCCAGCAATGTCACCAGCTTTGCAGAGACTAGTAAACAGGACTGCAAGTAAATACACCGACAAAGCCCTGCGAGCCAGCTATACTCCTTCCCCGGCCCACTCAGGAACTCCTGGTTACAAGACCCCAGCAAGTGGGCCTCATACACCCACAAGCACCCCACAAGCTAGGACAGTGTCTCAGACACCGGTATCTCAGGATACTACATCGATCACAGACAATTTACTGCAGCTTCCTAAAAGAAGGAAGGCATCTGATTTCTTCTGAATATTCCAGTCACCAGCAAGGCGATAGTGAACTGGCTGTGCTGGGCTGTCTGCAAACTGGATGTTGTGAGCCATCAGCAGTAAGGGGTGTGTAGATGCAGCTGCCAGAATGGAAGCCAGCAGTTACAAAATCTGGGACCAGCGCTACTCTAGACTATAGAGTTAAAATAGCTTGTGATGTGCTCTTTGGAAGCAGGGTACCTCCTGCTGTGTTATAACTTGCCTTTGAACTGCATGGGTGGGATGCACAGGGCTGCTGTAGCAAAAGGATGCTTCCTGCAGGGGCAGAGAAGATTCTGGACTTTTGGAAAATGGCGATAATTTTTTTTAAGATGTATTTCTCTTTTTAAGATGGCCATGCATTTAAATGTGTTTCTGTACAGATACATCTATTTATAAAATGTGGTAACCATTCCTAAAAAGGTCGAACTGGACTTTCTTCCAGCTTGTCAAACTTTTGGTTTTGTACTTTGCAGAAGAGGGGATACAACCATGTATATACTGAGACATGACCCAGAATTTGAGAGCTTCTCTTTAATTTAAGTGATGTTTAAACTGGTGCTCTTGGATGTAGGGTGGGCCTATCAAGAGAGTTGGTACATATGAAAACAGTATGCATATGGTTTCAGACATCAGTTCGTACTTCCTAATAACCTGCTGTCGATGCATGTGTGAATTCTGCAGCCACTGTAGTCAGAAACTTGAGAACCCCAAGTGTTAAAGAGCTCATAAGTGTCAGCAGAGCTGAACATAATAGTGTTAAGCTACTCATTCACCTTAGCAGAGGTACCGTGTCTTCTGTTGCTGTACTTTGCAAAACAAAAGACAAGGACTGTTGCTGAAAGGGTCCAGAGAAGCTGAAGTTGAGAACCAGCAGCGTGTCAAATTAGACCAACCTTACAATGTATTAAAACCAGCCATCCTTAAGAGGAGCCTGTTTCCTTCTCCTTTCCCTCCCCTTCTGCAGAATGGGATTTGGCTTGCTGCTTGTACTCAGGCTTTCCTTCATGCAGATTTTGGGAGCACTCACCTTCTTCTGCAGCTGGTAGAGGGGAAGGGATTGTGGATTTTGGAGTGTGCAACCATGAGTGTTTCAAAACTTCATCTATGCACAACCTCTGAGACATATCGGGCTGGAGCAAGTGGTAAATGAGGTCCTTGCACTCTACAGTCAGGGGTTTTGAGCTGGGGAAGTGAATTCTGTGTTGTTTCTGAATATGGATCATTCTCCTGACATTGGAATCATCAAATGGCATAAAAGCGTAGACCATTGTATACAGGATGACACCCAGGCTCCATATGTCACAAATCCTGGGGTCACAGGGAATGCCCTGTAGCACTTCAGGGGCTGCATATGCAGTAGACCCGCAGAAAGTTCTGCTGAGAATAGTTCTGCCGTTTTCATCCCGAGACAACAATTTGGAAAAACTGAAGTCTGACAGCTTGACGTTGAGGCCTTCATCGAGAAGGATGTTCTCACATTTCAGGTCCCTGTGAGCAAAGTCCAAGTCGTGGCAATGCTTGACAGCAGAAGCCAACTGCTGAAACTTGATGCGAGCAACATCCTCTTCCATAGCTCCTGTGGTGTTGATGTAGTCCAGAAGGTCTCCCTTTTCCCCCAGCTCCATCACAATGTATACTTTCCCAGCTGATGTCTCAAAAATCTCATAGGTTTTGATGATTGAAGGGTGGTGCAAACGTTTCAAGGCCTCTATTTCCCTGGGCAGAAATCTTTCCAGGAAGTCCTGAGGAGTTTTCCTCTTGTTGATTATCTTGATGGCCACGTTGCATTTCAGCCGGTCGCAGTAGGCGGATTTTACTTTGCCGTAAGAGCCTTCTCCTAGCGTGTTGTTCAGTCTATAGCCTTTCTTTCCAAGCACCACAGCATCATCCATGGGTGCATCATGCGTGGTGGCAGGTGGTGTGGCCACGTGCCATGGCAGCTGCTTGGCGCGGTGGTGCAGTGGGCAGGTGGATGGGCACTCCAGCGCTGGTCACTGTGATGTCACAGGCAGCTGCCCCTGAACGGGCGCTTGGAAGGACCTTTCAGTCCTTATATAAAGCTACTGGATGACATCATCCAGGGCAAAACTTAACATGAAGTCGCTGGGAGACACTGGTTGTGCTCTGCCCTCTTCATAAAATGATCTTTGTATTTAGTTTTGCTAACAGGATGGAAGTGGCTTAAAGGTTTTTCTTTCCCAAAATGTGCCTAAGTCAGTTTACAATTATTCACATTAGATGAAATTTTCTCTGTTGTCTTTCTGTATGTCTCAGATGATCTTTCAATCCCCACATGGGCTTGCTTCTGGAGTGTGGTGGCCTTGCTCCTCGTCAGCCAGCTTTCCTCAGAAGGGATGGGATGCTGCTTCTCTTGTCTGCACTGAGGCTGTGGTCAAGAACTGTTTGTTTGTTTGCTTTTTCCCTCATGGGCTTGTCAGGGGCAGGAGGTGGCTTCTCGTAAATTCATTTCCTTGTTGTTCACCCGGCCCCTCTGTTTCGTAGCTCTGATGATTTGCTGCTTTTGTGGGCTTTGCAGCTGGCTTTTTCTTAAACCTGTACTCAGTGGAGGAGTGTTTTGACTTCCAGCTTCTGATGTTCTTGAGAAATGCTCACACCAACACCTTCCTCAGAAGGGCACTGAGGATTACTGTTTTGCATGTTGATTGCTTCACTGTAATCAGCCCCTGGGGCTTTTTGCTTGGTGTCGGTTTCAGCTTTTTCAAATTTGCTTCTACAGCTGCTATGTGTGTGACTCGTAAGGCTTGATGGTCGCAACACAGGGGCTAGGGACAGTCCTGCTTCGTCCGCCAGCATGGATGACAGTGTCATTCTGAAGAACAGAAGTGGTGCTTCTGGCAGCCAGACTGGGGCTTTTGTTTGGTTTTTTTCTTCCATTCTTTGAAACTTTTGGCTAATTTTTATAATTAGCCAAAAGTACTGAAGAGCAGTTTTAACCATAGCCTGCCCTCAGAGCTGTGGTTGCTTCAGTATGAGTTGACCTCTGAGTGTGGGATGAGCACCTGCGTGGTGTGATCCAGGCTGGAGAAGCACCTTTAAGCAGGAAGGAGGCGTAGCCAGATGTGTGCACTTCTTGCACCACGCCTGAGTCCAAGGCAGCCTGTGTAACGTTTGGCAGTCTTGACATTTGATATAATCAGGTGATGTTTTACGGAGGGAACATCCGTGGAAAATCTTATGCAGCTCTTTGAGCAGTGCCTGCAGCCTTCTGTAAGCTCTGGGGTGTTTGATGCTGTTTGTCTTGGTGGAGAACTTCCTCTTGTGCGGTTTCCGTTGCCACTTCCAGAACTCACGTCCCTGTGAAAAACCCTTCCAAGGGGCTCGGCTTTTATAGTGCACCTTGTGAAAACCAGTTGGTTAACACAGCATTGCTAGGAATTGCGACTACAAGAAATCAGTAATTTTTGGTTTTTTATGTTCATAAATAATTGAAGGCTAAATTTTTTGCTTTAAGCAGAAAAATTATTCTCAGGTACTCATGAATGAAGGTAAAGGCAACGCATTTACATTCCATGCTTTCAGAGATGTTCTTTAAGGACTGAACTGGCTACATAACAAGTTCTTAGGTAATGTTAAAAACTGGTTGTCTGTTTCATAATGATCACACATAATTCTCTGCATGACATGTAGGACCTCTCTGTTAGGGTACACAGGCAGATGGTCATGCCCTGTCCTGCGGTTTGGGTCACTGAACAGACCAGGAGGAAGGGGTAGATGTGACATGAGAGATGACTGGATGCAGCAGGTAACAGGTAGCTGCTGGACCACCACAGACAGCACCCGGGGAAATGGCTGAGCTTCACAGATGCTTGAGGAAGAGCACGGAGACTGCCTGGGCTGCGGAACCTGGTGAGATGGAGGTGACCCAGTGCGAGGTATCAGAAATACCAAATTTGGCTACAGATGTAGCGAGACTGGGCCCAAAGGGAAAAAGTAATTACAGGAGGGTTGTTTTGGGAGGAAACAAGGGTTAGAGAAGAACAAACATGGGAACATGGAGAGAAATTGAGATATAGGCTGGATGTGTGGAAGCAGGCAGTGATCAGTGTGTGCGTCTCAAGCCTGGTGCCTCATCTCCATCTTCTTTTTAGATGATTCCTAACCATTCACGGGGTGCAGCAGCTCACCCTCCTGGGCATGGGATGCACAGAGAGGCTGGGCAGTGTTTGAGGGACTGTTCATGGGCTGTCCACGTGGCTCAGGAGCGGGATGGGGCATGCATCTTCCATGGCAGTTCAAACTGGTCATGCTCACACCAAGATGTAGCTGCAATAACAGAGAGGGGAATATGATATCTGAGAATGATTAGTTCTATGTTGTGCAATTCATGCTTAAAAGCAGATTGTATTAAATATCCCGTGGGACAATATTGGGTTTGTGTTCTCTCTCAAGTGAATTGACCTGGGCAGCCCTACTAAAATCAGAGTCTTATTTCTGCCAGACTGAAGTGCCTTCACGTGTTTGCTGGGAATGTGATTTATTTCCAATGAAATGCTATAAAACTGCATCTTTTGAAGGGGACGTAGTGCTCTTCAGACAGGCTATTCCTGTAACGCCTGCTGTCATGTCTGTCTCTGCTCCTTGCTGCAGGTCAGCCCCTGCTATCTGTAATTAGGGAATCAGGAAACTGGTGCCAGATATTTTTGCTGCTGTAGCACTGGCAGATAATGTGCCTTACAGGGCCAAATCCAGTGTGAAAAACCATCCTGGTTCTTGATGACTTGTGATTTTATTTTTTTTTTCCCCTCCTGTTTTTCAGAGGGTTATTTTCCTTTTGCTCTTCCCATATATCTGCATTGTCTGATGTTCAAGGCCCAAGCACGCTGCCCTCCTTGGCCTGAACTGCACCCAGAGCTCTCCCGATGCCATGGCAGCAGTGGGTGCTCCTGGCTGGCAGCTCTGGCCGCAGTGTGTTACTGCCTGCTTGCAAGAAATCGTGGGGCCCCAGTGGACCTGGGGCTGCATGGTGTGACATGGTGCTGTGGCATCATCAGGTGCTCGCATGTGCAGTTTGGGACTTGGCTTCTTGCTCCATGCAGGAAAGAAGATGAGGGACCACAAAGGATTCTTGTTCTTATAAGTAGACAGGAAAGAGGGGGGATTGGGGTTGATCTGGGGAGCAGCAGGATGCAATTCTTAGAGAGAAAGCTGTAAGAACCATTAGTGAAGAGCCAGTGAGGATGAGGGATGAGTTGCTGTGACCCGGACGGAGAAGGCAGGCTCAGATGCCTTAAAGAAGCAAAACACCAATTACACCAGAGATGATGGCTACTCTTTTCTTTGTGGGGCACAGCTAAGACAATGCTGAGCAGCAGACAAGGAGCAACAGAGTTTGGTGAGGCGAGTGGGAGAGAAGAGAAACTCTCACCATCACCCCACGCCACGCATAG